GTTTTTCGGATCGGTTCCAGGCGATCTGAGGCTGCCGGGGCCGGGGCCAGGCCCGGTCAGGTGCACCCTGAGGAAGCACAAGCCGAATCGCAAGCCGAGGACACCGTTCACCACGCAGCAGCTGCTCTCCCTGGAGAAAAAGTTTCGCGAAAAGCAGTATCTAACCATCGCCGAACGAGCGGAATTCTCGTCGTCCCTTCACCTTACGGAAACGCAGGTGAGACGCCATCAAAATTAAGCTCCCAATCAAGAACAATTAATTCGGGGGAAACATTTTGTAAACTTGGCGGCTTCGGCGAATACACTTTTCTCTTGATCGTTAAATGGAAATGGTTTTTAAAGAAATTGGATAAGTGTGTTAATGCGAAACGAGTCGAACGAGATCACGTGTGATGTCATCGAATTAATTCGATGCGAATATTCATACCTTGGCGAGGAAATATTAATATTCAACAGTTTCGCAGTATTTTAATTTTAACGATTGTTAAGGTTGAAATGTATTCGTTATAATATTGGAATAATGAAAATCCAAGTTATATCACGGTATAATAGATTTTAAATAATAATATATTCGATGTTATTCTTATATTTGGATTTTATTTAATATTTGTAATGCTTTTAAAATAATTTTCAAATTTTAATACGCATAAAGTGCGATATAATTGAATTTAAAAATATTGTGAGTGAGAGAAGATCAAAGAATTACTAGCAAAATATTCATGAAAGTTTCCAGTGTATATTTGTTTTCGTTTTCCAAAGTACTTGTAAAAGTATTATCTATCTTGTAAAAGCTATTTTGTTTGTTGAGTTTGACTCTGTTTGTAAAGTATTTGATATACAGTATCGATATCTCGTGATTTATAATAAAATTTAAAATAAGAATCATTTAAGAAAAATTATTTATTATGTGAATTTTATTTTCAACGGAAGTTGAAATCAATGTTTTAATTTTTTCTTTCATTTCTTTAAATATATAAATTGTTTTAATATCTTTTGTAAAAAAAAAAATCTATTCCTAGACGAAATTACATTAAAAAATATGAAGAATTGAAAGCTGGATTACATCCCTTTAAGAATTTTTCGTCAAAAAAAAAAATTGTTCTACATTTTATTATACACACAACTTTTCATTTGAAAGAATTTTGAATTGATTAAATGATGTGATATTCGAATACTTTCATTAGTTTTGAATAATCGTCACAATATTCCAATGATTCACTTGCAATAGAATTAACGAAAGAGACAATTCAGACACAACTTTAACGAATAACAAAACTTAGATTTTTCCTTAAATTGTTCCATATTCAAGTTGGATCTTTTAATACACAAAACTGAATAGAATTACGTTCCGAGCTTCGAACTTCTTTCTCCAATATCTTCAAAATAATAATAAAATTCAAATATATAATATATATTCCTCTATCATTCCGATATATTTCAAAATAAATCATCGTTAGGAATTTAAAATATCGCTTGATTTCTCGGGATTCGTGGTAGTTTAAAATACCCTTAAAAAAAACCGAAGCTTGTAACGATACAAAAGAATGGAAACTATTCTCGGAAACGCGTAAATAGAGAAAGTGGCAAAAAAGGGTGGCTCGCACGCAACAAGAGGATCATTTCGTTTGAAAGCCCCTGAGTGAACTCGCTCTCCTCCTTTACGTACATTTGTTCCTCCCCTTGTATTCCCCTGCAATTTATTTCTCCCTCTTTCTTCCGCGCTTCGCTCTCATCTTTGTTTTCGTAATTGCTCGGCCGATCAAAACGAGCAAATTCTCTCTCTCTCTCTCTCTTTCTCTTTCTTTGCATCAGATACATCACATCGAGGCGTAATTGCACACTCTT